TTATTAATAAATTTTGATCTCTTACCATGGAGCATAAAGGGTGAAAATACTGATACTGCTGAAAATACAAAATTTATCTAATACTAGCGAAATGTTAAAAATCTTTGCTTAAAAAATGTTAGCATAAAAGACAAATGGAAATTTACCTGAGAAGAAGACATTTATGTATGAGAAACAGGAGATTGTAAACGATAGACTTTTAAAGGCAGTGTTCATCAAATACTTGTTTCGAATCAGGTGCGTTGTAAATATATTACGTTTACAGTGATAGGTAAATATGAGACTTTCTTACTAGCTTTGGTAAAATCATTTTCATTTTACATTTTGGATTGGGATGAAGGTTGCAAATGTTAACTGGATTGAGGAGGAAGTTGAAAGGAGACCTCCAACCTTTAACAATGGATAAGTAACAGGAGTGGGTGGCAGATAATAATTAGAAACAAAGCTTGTCAATAATGCCCTTCAAGTTGAGTTTTAAGAATCTGCATTTCAGAGGCCTGTGGTTTTTAGTGTGGAACAGAAAGATCATTGATCTCACTGAAGGCCACCCAGAGGAAATAGTTACTGGGATCTCTCTCATCTTTTCCCTAAAAGAATGTGTCTCAGAGACTCATTACACACCTTTCTGAAACCATGACTTTCCATCCAGAGAATTTTTAGTCCTGAGATCCTGTGGGCAGATTCCATCTAGTTAGTGATGACCTAGGAGCTGAATATCACTGAATCTCTGTTATGTGTCCTTGGACACAATTGAGTATCCTTGCTGGAACAGTTAGTAATTGACCCACCTGATCTGCTTAATGCTGCTAATTTTTGTTGGTTCCATAAATCCTCCTCTGAGATGACTTTGATTCACTACATGCTGTTTATCTGTTCTTGGACTATCAGATTTTAACTTCTTTAACACATATGCATTAGAGTTATTATGATGCTCTTCAAGCTACTAAGAAGTATTTTGTAGTATTGGAAGAGGCCAGGCAACTTTTTCTCCAGCTCTGTTTAGAAATTATTATGCACCTTGATAGTCTTTAACATAATTTTGGATTTTAAAAAATACTCTTTAGTTTAAAGATTTAATTCCTGGTCATTGTACAGAGGAACTCTGCTTTAATTTTTTTTCCTTTATTGAATATTTTGGAAGAGTTTCACTTTCGATTGTAATGTTTGTGTTTCCATTTATTCTTGGTACTGATGGAAGAGGAACTAGAAGAATAGGAACCAAACATGTATTGGTATTCTTTTTAAAAAAGTGCAGTCATGCTGTTTTTCTATGCATGTTATCACTTCATCTGTTATCTGCCTTTTTTTATATGACATTACTTTGCTTGATACACATGGTTGGTTTAGACACATTAAGATCATATACAATAATTTTCATGATATAGTGATAAATTACTTGAATTTTAAGAAAAATATTTTATACGTATTTTCATTTTTATTTCAACTTTAGGTATTTTAAATAGATCTTTAAAATAGTGCACTGACTAGAAAGCTAGTTTCTTTTTAAATAAAGCTTGATGTTTTATTTCCAGGTGACTCATTCATAGATATTTAAGAAGTGGGCTATGTAAAACTACGTTTTGCCCCAACCTCCCCTCCCCACTCCCCCAAAAAAAGAAAGATTGCTGAAAGGGAAAGTTGAGGATTACATTATTTTGAATTATTGTTTAGAAATGTTTAGACTGTGTCTCTTTGAAAGGAGTGATTCAGGGGGTATGTTCTGGAGTCAGCCCACCTGAATTTAGGTTCTAGTTCTACTTTCTATGAGCTCTGTGCCTCTCTCCAAAATAGCAGCGACAATGGCACCTACTTATGGGGTAGAATGAATGTGATAGTTCTTGTGAACTTCTCAGAACACTGACTGTCACCTAGTAAGTTAACCGTTATTTGGAGAATGAATTAAGAATCTCTTAAGAATATGAAAAAAAGTGAGAAAAGACACTGCTTGCACTCTTATCTGAATTGCCTTCTTTCTTACAATATCTGAAATTGTGTGGACACATTAACACATAATCTAGTGGCAGCTCTCCGTCACTTGGATATCTGAATTTGTTTCAACATACTGAATTCCTTCCAGTTTCTAGATTATGTTGAGAAAGGCATGACAGGGGGAAGTTAAAGGAAAGGAGGCAGTTGCTCTATAGGGCTCATGAAAGCAGGTTTGGTGGTGGGACTTTGATTATCTGGAGAGGGGCATAAAACCTAAGGCAGGTAGAAATGCCTGTTAGAAATGCCATGTTAGAAAACATGTCTGGAGAAAGCTGGCTGAACATAAAATGCACATGCTGGGGTTTTGCCAAACTATATCAAAATGCAAAGAGCAGTTTGTTTTTATTCAGCATTTCCTAAGAACCTAGTAAGTGCCACGGAAGAGGGAAGGAAATATGAAGACGTAGATACGGTCTTTACAGGGTTTCCCCCTTGGGTGGCTCAGTGGTAAAGAACCACCTGCAATGCAGGAGCTGCAGGTTTGATCCCTGGGTCCAGTGTTCTTGCCTGGAGAATCCCATGGACAGAGGAGCCTGGCAGGCTACAGTCCATGGCGTCACAAAGAGACAGACGTGACTGAAGTGACTCAGCACCCAGCACGTGGTCTTTACGCTTGAAGAGCTTACAGTGTAGTGGGACTCCGACATTTATGTGAGTAAATGTTTTGAGTGATACAGTGTGAGGCACTCTTGCTGATCAAATACTAGAGGCATATGCAGACACAGACAAGGGAGGAACCGCCTTTATGCAGGAGAACCAGGGGAATTACACAGAGGATGTTAGAAAGGACCCTTTGGAGAAAAGGGAAAACTCCATACAGAGAGTTGCCTCTGTGAGGACTGGGGACCTGAAGAAACGTCCTTCTTTTGGTTGAAGAATCACGGATGATGTTTGTTCTCCAGTGGTTTGGATCAGATTATGAAAGCACATCTCTGTCATTTTAAAAATTGGGATTGCCTCTCTGGAAAATGGGGAGTCTTTCCTAGAAAACTTCTCATTACCACTGTTGTGAATATTTGTAATTATTTTTTCAGACATAAATATAACAAGATCATGATTAAATTATAGTTTATTGAAAGTGTATGATAGTAGATTCTGGGAGTACTGGTACCTCAGAATTATGCCTGGCAAAGAAAAAAATAAAAGCTTTTGATTTCACTTTACGTTAATCTTGTTGTGTGCTTTATTCATCAAAAAAAAAAATTAGTGTTAAGTGAAAAGTCTACCCTTTCACTACTAATTTTATGATTTTACCTCTGATTGTATCAACATACATTTTTGTGAGCTCTATACATTTTATTAAGTTCTGAACATCTATCTATAGATGACTAATCTCTTAATAATATGAGTTATATAACAAAAGATGGTAAGCATAATCATCATTGCCTCATGGCATTTTAGACTTGGAAGAAGTTCTGAGGTTCACTTGGTCCAACTTTTAACCTAATGCAGAATTTTTATTACATTGTTGCAGGGAAAAAATGCATAGCCTCTGCTTGAATAATGTGGATAATAATAATAATAAAATGAGTTGAAAGCTTCCTAAGGCTATTCATTTCTTAACATCTTTTATACTTACAAAGATTTTCATTATAATCATCTATCAATACTTTCTTAAAAGTTAAAATTACTAGCACCATTTCTACCCTCTGGAGACTAAATGAGTGTAATTCCACTCCCATCTGATGACCGTTTAAATACATTATCATTTAAAAGGGGGTAAGATTAATATGCCCTCTTTTCCTGTCCCCTTAACAGAAATTTCTTTAAGACAAGAAACACCTCAGGTATCTTCAGTGTGACATTACTTTCTGGATGTCTTTACTCTCCTCTAGAGCTATTGTGTTGGTCACTCAGTTTTGTCCGACTCTTTGAGACTCCGTTGACTGTAGCCTGTCGGCTTCTCTGTCCAAGGGATTCTCCAGGTGAGAATACAGATTGGGTTGCCATTCCCTTCTCCAGGGAATCTTCCAGACCCAGGGATGGAACCTGGGTCTTCTTCATTGCAGTCAGATTCTTTACTGGCTGAATCACCAGGGAAGCCCAGCAACTTATAAATCATCTAAGTGTGCATTTTACATCATCTTGTCATCATTTTATTTGAATTTGGAAAAAGAGAGGATAGACATTTATTTTTACTGAAATGTTAAGTTGTACACTTAAAATGAATGGGATTGGGAAATTCGTACATTGGGGCTAGAATTTGCCACTCTTTTTAAGTGTTCATAGTCTGAAAGAACTTGGTTATATAGTGCGTGAGTGCTAAGTTGCTTCAGTCATGTTTGACTCTGTGCAACCCCATGGACTATAGCTTGCCAGGCTCCTGGGCTTAAATTGAGTTAGGGTTGCAATCAAATTCTTTTCTAAAATATTCAAAATATCCCAATATCAGTTAAACATTTTTAGGAAATACATTACTTCAACATTTTTGCCCTCACTGTTAATTATAACTCAGCCATATTCAGTTGAGAGTAAAGAACTGTGGATTGAAGTTTTCTTCTGATTTTGCCTAGAGGGACAAATCATGCTGACACTTTCTCATACATTTTTGTGAAACTAAATGGAAAGGTTAAAAAAAATTGAAATTTCTGTCTCCCTTCAGTGACTTGGCTGAAGATTTAGGTCATTTGGGACAGAATATGAATTATTTTAGGGCACCGTTTAATACGGTATTTCTGCTGTATGTTGAACTCGCTAAACATACATACTCGCTAAACGAGTCCAGAAAGCCTTTTTCATTGCTTCTATGCTGGTTGACTCATGTTGCAAGGGTTGTGGATATAGAGTTTAGGCCCCAGTAATCATCATCTGAGTAAGCACAATGGAAAATTTGCTTTAAAGAATCTTGTAACAAAAGGTGTAACCAACTTTTGATTTGTAATGCTTGAATTCTCTTGAATGTTATTTCATTCTTTCTGAAATACAGGATGAGGCATGACACTACCCAATCACAGTCTCATTGTTGGGTACTTTCTATGTAACATATGCTTTGTTTTTGTTTTTCTCAAAAGGCGGTTAAACAGAAATCACCTTCAGCTGTTTCCTGAGTTGCTGTTTCTTGGGACTTCGAAGCTATACAGGCTGTAAGTAGACAGAAATAGTTATTGTTGCTCTGTGTAGTACCTTGCGTTTTATTAAATGTATTTTGGATCTGTTTCCTTGCGCTTTCCTGGAATCTATTCACCAGTAGATTAATGGATTAAAAGTTTGCCTTTCTTTTTTTCTTTTTTTGAAACTTATGATTGGTTTTCCAGTGGTTCCAGTTCTTGTAGTTGGTTAGCATTTACTGGTTCATGTATGTGTTATTGCAGTTGTATTATTCTTTTTTGGTCTTGAGGAGGAGATTGACCTAACTTCTTTATGGAAACTTTTGATTAAGTTCTGAAGGGAAAGATTGCCACTGTGCTTCCTTTCCAGAGGAAGTTGGCAGTGTATTCTTGTAAAGTTGGGATTCTTAACGTCTGCCTTTTTGATATCGTTTCTATACTCAAGTAGTCTTTATTAGTCTGGAAATACTATTATAAGGTATTTATAGAAGACTGTAAATTTCCTCTTAAATTTTCCTTTTAAAGCCAGAATTCCAAACTCCATGATATGAATGACTGTAGAGGGTTTCATATCAAATACGTCATCGACTGTTAATGGAAGTATTTCTTTGAAAGGAGTGTAGTGTGGGTTTTAGGCAGAATCAGTTTTTTCCTCCCTGGAATGCTTGTTCAGTGACCGAATGTGCAATGGTGAAAACACACTTTTGACAGCTCTTACAAGTAGGTTTTTAGCCATATGAATGATTTTGTGCAGATGGGAGATAAACTGCAAAGTGTTGGGGAAATTAATACAATGGTTATCAATGTTTGTGGATGTTGTGAAAAATCATTGGGATATACAGAATAAATTGCTTAGTTTGACTTCCACCTGTATGGTTGCAAAGTCCCATGTGTGGAGCTTGTGGGGAAAGTGAGGAGACTGGTTTTCCGACCTTGACTTTGTAGCCAAGGCTTCATAACCTACTAGTTCAGTATTGTTGTTATCAATTCCAGAAGTAAGAAGGATCTCTTCCCACAGCCCTCCCCCACATTGTATCTCTGTTAGGATCTCTGTTAGGGCCTCCTGACACCTTGGCTCACTGTGGAGAGAATTTTCCCAGCAGGCCAAGGTAGAGCCAGTTACACACCAGGTCTTGTCTCTAGAGTCTGACTTTCCTGATTCTATTCCTCTAAGGATAGCCAAAGTCGCCTAGCAGTATTTCTCTTCTGCTTTGTGTTCCCTGCTGATTAATTGGCTCAATTTAGGTAAATTTAAAAGAATCAGATAAAGAAACCTTGAGACTGCCTTTTTAACAAGAATTCTCTAAAGACTATTTTTACCAAAGACACTGGATGTAGGCTGTTATGAAGATTATGCGGATGAATATAAATTAATATTTATATTTAAGTATTTGTGCTTCATTTCCAAGAATGGATACAGAAGTGGTTTTAATAGTATTCTACTTTCTTCCTTAACTTTTTGATTGTGCAGATGTTGAAGAATTGATTTCAAAGCTAGTATACAATGAGTGCTATTAAATTAATTTACTACTTTGCTAACAGTGTGCATCTAAAACAATCCACATTGTCTAGAAAATTGTCTGTTTTCTATGTGGCTGTGAAAAGATAATTTAAATGGAATGATTGGTACAGCTAGAATTTAAATTGTTAAGCTAAAGAGGGGAAAATGTAGGAAATAACTTTAACACTATCCCTGAGAAACTAGAATGTTTGATTTTTAGTTGGAAAGTATTTGGATTAATTTTCTTTGGGTGGTATAATCTAGTGCAGAATCCCCTATCAGCAGATCATGTTCTGTTTAGCATTTGCCTCCTTTGACAATACCATGTAGTGGGCCAAAGGTTTTTCATTTATGTTACATTATGATTTTATAACCTTATGAAGTTACTTTTTGGAAGAGACAACTTGATATCCTTAAGTGAATGAAAGAAACAGAACCCATGAAACTCTAAGGCAACATCTTCTAGTGAGTTAAAAGCATGTTAAAAAATGGGGAAAACGGGCAGCTAGAAAATGAGTTATAATGTGCCTGTTTGGCTCAAAGGATTTCCCCTGGGAAGTAATGGAAGATAAAATTTTGTTTCTGATGTGGGTCTATAAGGACTCAAATGCTTTGATTTTCCTTAAGTTAGAGCTTGATGGCTTTGTGTTCACGATTGACTGGGATGTGACACCTGACATAGGCACTGGATACCCATGAAAACTTAGAGGTGTACATTTTTTCTGCCTCAGAAAACAGGAATCTATCTTCTTTTGAGTTGAGGCACTGTTGTCTCACCCTAATTAGATGTAGTGGATGGTTAACCATGATCTTTTTCTTGAGAGGAAAGTTATCAGCTACATGTGACCAATTTTTTATGATGATGATCAGTAATTGAATTAAACAACCACCAGTGAGAGTATGTAATAAATAAAGGAACAAAAGCTTGTGAGGTTAACTGCCTGGCTAGTTTAATTTCCAAGAAGATGGGTTCAAGTTCAGGTATTCTTCATATGATACAGGTGCCTAGTAGCTAACCCGAAACAAATGTTCTAAACAGATGGAAAAATCTGCACAAATCTACATGCAAAAATTGTCCTTTAAAATCTTCTTTTAAAAATGAACTTTTATTTCACAAGAAGGATAAGTGACAGGACAAAGGATACAGGATTTTGGACAAGCAGTATGTTGGGAGAGGGAAAATTTGACTGGTGGCTAATTTGCATATTAAGTGATCTACTGTTGCCCAGCATATAATGGCAACCCACTCCAGTATTCTTGCCTGGAAAATTCTGTGAACAGAAGAGCCTGGTGGGTTACAGTCTATGGCATCACAAAGAGGCAGACACGACTGAGTGACTGAGTACACACACACACACAATTGCCCTACTATATAATTTAGTGGAGCCATGCTCATCTAGAATTCCTGAAAGAAACAAATTTAGAATTTATTATCTCTAGTTCTATTCCTAACTTATTTTCTATTTTACCGTTACTTAATACTGTTGTTTCTGGATATGTAATCGATGAAAAACTTTCTTATTTTTATAGTTCACACAATGATTTTTATCATTGTTTGCTTAGATTAAATCTAGTCTGTTCCACTGGACATTATACAGATTTTCTTTGTGCTTCTGTAAGGAATAATCACCATTTGACTCTTGGCTGAAAATGAGATGCCAGGTGAAGAAGCACACATGTGTTTTTTTAAAACTCTAAATGCAATATAAAAGAAAAGGAGGGTACACTGTATATGAATTATGATTCGACACGGTTAGTTGCTGCTAGCGGCCAAATATGCTTTTCCTTTGCTGTCTGCTCCAATTTCTCTTTGGACGGGTTGAGAGAGCACTCCGTGTTCAGGTCAAGATGTTTGCTCAGAAATAGTAGTACAGTTGCAGCTGTGTGTGCTGGAGCAGGAGACTAGTTTAAATAGCATTACCATTTATCCAGTCCATTAACAGAACTCTGTAAAATAATACCAACTCTGCATAAACTACAGGACAGTGTAATAAAATTACAAGCACTTGTTGACAGATGGGAAGTGTAAGTAAAGAAGAAAGAAAAGTGAAGGGCCATAGGTTGGAGGTTAAAAGAGACAGTACATAGTTTTCTTACTTATGGAGATTCTCCATCCTTTCACTTGGCTCCTCCTCGAAAACCAGGATTGCTTTTTGTTATCAGTTTATTAAGAGTGGAGAACATGATTTTCAGAGCAATTCAGAGTGGGTTAGCTGACAGAAGTACAGTGACGTTTGAAATGGTTGCTTGTGATGGAAATTTATGAATAGCATATACAAATCTTCCTGAAAAGTATAACCTTTAAGGTGACTTGGCAGTGAGTGAGTCACACTTTTCGGCCTGAGTTTGCAGCTACTCATCTGGGCTCATTAGAGAGGCATTTCATTGGTAGTTCTGTGGTTAAGCATTTGGTTACAAATATTTGTTTTGTGGTTTTCAGTTTATTTCTTTGAGTATTATTATATTTACCCAGACATCTAACATAAGCTTAAGTAGCCAAACCATGTTGCAGAAACTCATTTTTCACTTGTATCTCTTGAGACAAAACAAAGCTAACAAATGAAAATAAATACATAGGTTCCAGTGATTCATTTTCTTTGCTTCTTTAAATGAAAACTCTTTATTTCTGGTTAACAAGTGGTGTTTCCCTTGTGAGCTTTGGAGCCACTAAATTATCTAGCATTATAAGTAGTAGTATTAAAGCCAAGGACTCTTTTTATGGCCTAGCCTTACCTGAGATAAACAGATTTTGAGCAATAAATTCAGTTGCTCAGGTCACAATTCATTTGCTGTCAGATAGGATCTCAGATTCTCCAAATTGTTTTCTTGATGATAATTATTACAATTCTTTAAGAGAAAAAATTTCTATTAAAATAAAAATTAATTTGGGAAAGATAATAAATATATGATGAAGCTGCCCTTATTTTCCTTTCCTTTCTTATAGAAGGAGCCTTGGCTTTTGATTTTGGTTTTGAGGAGTTACAAGAATAAATATGCTTAATGTTATAAAGGTCTAGATAATTCAGAAAAATAGAAAAGTGGGAGTATAAATTATTCATGATCTCCCCACTCAGGTATAACCACTAGTATATTTGTCTATTGTTAGTAGATTAGTTTTCTTTTTCTGTAATTATGCATATAAATACTGCTGTACACGCATTACAAATACATTTTTTTTAAATATCCCCAGGGTTTAGTATAAAGCTTGACCTTTAGAAAGCTCTCAGTAAGTGTTTGATATATTGAATTAAATCTCCGTTGGGTTCAGGGTTTGTAACTTGAATGAGCAAACAGTAACACTGGGAAGGCATTATGAATAATGGGGAACCAAATTAAATTTAAAGGATACCTTGGTTCATTAATGTTTGTCCCCTTAGGTTTTCTAAACATTGAAGTGTCTATTGGTACGCACTGACAAATCAAAATGATGTTTTCCACCTAAGCAAGAATATCTTAATTTCCTATAATACTATACTTGTATAAAACTACCACTGCACCCCTCCCCCTGCCCCTGTTCTCTGATGCCAATTAAGTC